CTCCCCTTCCATACTGTGTCCCATGAGCAGCACTGACTTCGGAGTAAACTCACTTTCGTCGCAGAAACCTGTAGATTTGTCGTAGCTAAAGAAATGTACGATTCTTCTTTGGTACTGCATAGTTGTGCAAGGAAAATTAAATGTCTAGATCCTTTTAGGTTTCAGCATTGTCTTTTCATGGTGCTAGTGCTGTTAGAAGCAATGGAGTTGAGGGAGTCTCTTTTCCTCCATTTACGTCTGCTTTCAGTGTCTGAAGAGGGGTAGAAAATAAAATAACAAAACCTAGAAGAAAGCACAGCCATGTTAGATTTCCTAACCTGACCTTCCAGTCACCTCTAGCTTACTCCCACCTCATACTGTAGACAGCGAAACTGATTAGATATCTTATAAACAGACAGGGTGGGCCCTTCCAGGAATCAATAAGAAATGCAAGCAAGACGCATTCAGTAAAGGTCAGCATTATAAAAAAGTACACTTATGTACTTCCCTTAGAGATAAATGACAGTGACTGATGTTCTAAGTATCAGTCACCTTGGCTGGGGACCAAAACCTTCCCATTCCTTCTGGGGAAAACCTCCTTTGTTTCATGCATGCTTGCTTGCTGGCTGTGTGACTAGCTTCCCCATTTGATCCCCATTTAATATTACATAAGTGACTATAATCTTATTGGTTGATTTCAGTTTTGTCTACCTTGTGCTTTCCCACTGGATCGATATTACCTAAGTGATGATATTTGTAATCTTATTAGTTGACTGTAGTTTTGTCCTACCTTATACCCACTTCACCTCTTGGCTTTGCTCAATGAAACACCTTTAAAACGTAGCGTGGGCTGGCAACCCACTTCTGGTCCCCTTCTGTCTCCCTTGGACAGAAGATACATTTCTCTCAATAAATTCTTCCTCTTAACCTCTGTTATTCCTCTAATTCATTCTTTGATTTTAGAGAACATGAAATCACTGTTTTGGATATCTAGCAGGTTGGGACTTATATTTCCCTTGTTTGGATTATTTTACATTATTTGAATTACTTGGTATCCTGTATCAATTACAGATTGATAAATAATGTACTTCATGTCATAAATATAATTATGATCAGAGTGAATTCTGGGACAAGCAGGCATGTTGAGTGCCCCTAAGATGACTAAGCACCCTGTCAATCATTCATGCCAATCATACCCAGAGATGCAGGAGGAGGCACCTAAGCAGATGTGCCTTGCCTTTAAGTTCTGAAAGCCTATTTACACATACTCTGTCACTGTTGCTACTTTTGTGTGCTTTGGCAGTGCTCTTCTGTTACCCTGGCACTTTTCCCTGTCTGCACTATAGCTTTTGTTGGCATGAACTTGTTCTGAGTGTGAATGTGATCTTTAAGAAATCACTTACTATTGGGAGCACACTTGGCAATTCTTTCCTTTTTCTAAACAACAGCCTGGACTATTATTGCTTCGTTCCATGGCAACAGAGCTATTGATACTGTAAAATCAATGTTGAAGAGAGATAACTTCAGAGAAAGAATTGGACACCACTTTTAATTTCATTTCATTTTCAAGGATTTTTTTTCTTGTTCTTCCTTTCCCCCATCTTCCTTTTTTTGTCTTTTTTCCCCACTTTTATTTTTGAGTCATAACAAATCTTTATTCTTTTCTGCTTTGGAAATTTGGTCTTGTAGTCATTCACTACAAAATACCTCTGACTCAGGACACTAAAAATAAATAAATCTTGTCTTTTTTTTTTCCCTTTCTTTTGTCCGAGGCTTTTATTCTGCCATGGCACTTACAAACAGTCATTAATAACTGACTACACAGTCAAAACAATTCAAAAATATGTGGGGTAAAATAACTAATTAATATAGAATTATAATTCAAATCTTTCCTGAATTGAAAAAACAAAGTACAGTTAAAGTACATAAGTTTGAATTCAATAGGGAAAGATTGCTTTATGCATATCAGTGGGGGAAAAGTCCTCCAAAAGGAAATTTGAAAATAAGGAGAAATGTATTTGGAATACTTTTTCTTGTTTCATGATAATGCAACATCTTCTAGAATAAGTAAATGAGGTACACAGTAGTACTTTAAATATCAGCTGAATTTCTTATTTATTTTTCAAAGACTGGGTTTAAACTTTTGATATAAAGCAGATTTTTAATTTCCCATCTTTCAAAGATAATACTGAAAGGTCACTTTAGCTTTTAAAGTTTTCAGACATGAGTCACTGTACTGCCACTGTTTTACAGGCTTCAAAATCAAATATCCGGTCAGTATCGTTCATTTTGATTTGGCAAATGCATCATTTTTATGTATTGTTATGGAACTTATGAAAAGCTTTTTATAACTGGCTGCCATGTTTTAGTTAGATTCTCAGAATGCTGCATTTAATAGTTAAAAAGAACAATGCATACTTTAACGAAATACACCGTTTTGAATCTCTGAGCAAGATTCCTAAAAGATTTGGAAAGTTTCTCATCTTATAATTTCAGATTTAGCTATCAAAACTTACCTACTTCCTAATTACTAATGCTTACATCCAGGGAGATGAGGACTCTGAAGCTGACAACCTTGTTCCTCAGAAACACAGAGCATAGCCAAAGATACTGCATGCCATAGCAAGGTTCACCGGTCAATGAGGGTTGTGCAAAAAATACTTCTTTTACTTTCTCAAATGATCAAAAGCTGTGGAAACTTCTGTACCCAACGAGACAGGTCAGGCCCTTTGACTGAGAACCCAGCATGGTTGGACACTGACAAAGTGCTCAATACCTTAGGGAAGCTGCCAGTGCCCCACCCTCAGATTGAGGTCTGGTTCCAGCTGGGCCCAGTGGATATGGTCAGGCTGAAATTTAGCTATGGTTCAAAGGACCCTGAAGAAAACCTATACAGTGGAGATCTTGTGAGGCACAACAAAAAGCAAAATTAGTTTAGATTCATAACCAACAAGAAATCTCACTTCGGCCTCAAAACTTTCATTCAGAAATATTTATTTACTTTGGTACTGGGGATCACACTCGGGTCTTTGTGCTTGGGAGGCAGGAGGCCGAACCACTAAGCTAAATAACCGGCCCCAGAAATATTTATTGAACACTTACTATGTGTTTCAAAGCTATTTAACTCCAAGTTCCCAAATTTAGCACTTGATTCATTTTCCCACACAGAAACTAGATATAATCTTTTATGGCAAGTCAAAACTCAGTCATCAAAACAGTGTTCCTCCTCTAGAAAAGCTACTCTTAAACTTAGATTCATTTATTCTACTCCTTAAAATCTTCAAATCTTGCTATCACATTTTTTTTTCTTTTCTTTCCTCTTTTTGAGACACAGTCTCCTTAGTAGTTGAGGTTGGTCTTGACCTCACTATGTAGCCCAGGCTGGCCATGCACTAACGGCAATCCTCCTGCCTCAGCTTCCCAAGAGCTGGGATTATAGGTGTGCTCCACCACATCCTGCATCTTTTCTTTCTTTGCTACTTTCTAATTTTAAACCACACCCTTCCACTTAGGAACTGTTTATGTTGAAGGCTCACTCGAGTCATGAAGAAACATGGCGTCTACTTTAATTTTGTCAAAATTATAGTGTGTGCTTTTAATGGTTTAGAGCATCAGATGGCTTCCAAGAGAAGACCTCCTCGTAGAAAATTATAATAAATAAAAAGATAAATATGGATCATTCTTTAAGGATGCAACTGACCCTTAAAGCTCCTTCTGAGCACTCTGCACAACTTACAAATTATTAAAAACACTAAAAGGAGACTTGTGGCATGATTTACTGCTGTGATCCCAGCTTCTATTTGGTCGTTCTCTCCCAACTCCCTCAAGTCCAAGGTGATTTTCAAGCAAGGGACGACTCGGGACTAGTTTATCTTGGAAAGGGTAATAACTTCCTGGGCTTCTGCTACCAGCTACAAAGTAGGGCTTTCTCCACTGCTTTGAATAATGCTTATCTGAGACAAATTCCAACTTGCACTAGATTCGCTGCAGGCTGTGCATCCCCTCCCTTCTTGCACGTTAACGAACCCACTTTCTGATCCTCTATGGGTTCAAACCTCTGAAGCAAGCACGAATACAAAGATGCGCAATGCCAGTGTGGAAGTTTCCTGGGCGTCTGAGGGCAACTAAGAAATAGTGTTCGGAGTCAGGTTGATTTGGAGGAAGCGTCCAGCTGTGTCAAGGACCATCTCGTTTTGAATCTGAAGCGAGCAGCGAAGCTGGGCGCAAGGGAGGCACAGAACAGTTCAGGGAAGCAAGGTTTGAGGCCCCAGGCTGGACAACGGCGGGAAGGCTGGCCGCTTGCGGGGTGCAGGCGGTCGGGCTGGCGACTCCGGCTGCTCCGGG